TTCTCTCTATCTCTATACTAAATAATAACAATTTACAAATTTTATAATTTGAATTTAAATAATCAAATTAATGAAGATAATTTTAATAGAATACTTAACTATAAAACTATACATCTATTTATTGTTATAATTAATTTAGATTTAGCTTGCTAATCTAACCAAATCTACTTGATATGATTTATCATTCTTATCAGTTTGCTTCTTAAGTTTTAAATGTAGAATCACTGTTATATTTTTATTATATAGTTTTTACACTATATTAATTCATATGAGCTTGCTCTATGATATATTTTTATATATAATATAATATACAAATTTAATTATATATTAGATATTCTAATATATAATAAAACTCCATACAGATTACAATTATCTTTTATTGTTTGATTATGAAAAAGTAAATTATAAAAGTAATTTTAGAAAAAATAACTTCAGAACTTTTGTTTTTTTCAGTGTTTAGATAGTTTAAAGATGTTTTTTATTAGTTATTCTTAAAAATATAACAGATAACAAACAGTAATATCTATATTTTTATAGATTAATTATTCATTTTATTACAAATTTAATCACCTCAAAAACAATTAAGATAAATATATTTAAAAAAAATTTTTTTTTTCATTAGAATAACAAACTAAAAAACTAAAAAAAACTACCAGCACATTAGGGTTAGCACCTCTTTTATGTTAATTTAAACTCGCTAAGAATTGCCTAAGAAAGAATTGTCAAACTTGTCCCTCTCTTAAGAACCATGACACATTTCAAACGACTAGTTGTAAATTAGTAAATACTATTTATAAATTAACATGCCAAATTTGTCAATTATCATATATAGGACAAACGTGTAATCCATTAAATATACGAATAAACCTACATAGAAACCACGCTAAAAAATCAATTGGTAATATATATATGAAAGAACACAATCAATTACATACTTTTAACAACTTTAAGATAGAAATACTAGACATATGTCAAAACAAAAAACAACGACTATTATTAGAAAACAACTACATTTATAAACACAACACATTATTCCCTTATGGACTTAATGACGAATTGAACTACACATACAAACCACAAACAGAAGAAATTTCAACTTATGAAATCAGCTGCAAATACAAAAAAAAAAATGAATTTAAAACTAAACCTAATAAAACTAGAGGTAAAACTACCAATAAATTAGGTTACATTGAATTTGAAGAATTACTGGACCCAAAACAAATGTACACTAACAACTTCGTCGATAAATTTATTAAAACATTATTTAAACTAAATAATAATAAATTTATCAAACTTATAGAATATATTAAAATTCATAATCTGACTAACAGATTAATAGATATCACACACGACATCTTTAAATACAGAAAAATTAAACAATCTACTAATAACATTAATATTATCATTAAATTTAATAACAATTTATTAAATCATATTAAGTTTAATGATATTTTTAATAACCAAAACATTAATAATCTTTTCCCTATAAAATATTTAAATTTCAAAACAATCTGGAGATACAACAAAAATATAGGTAATTTAGTTTGCAATTATAACCAATTTATTAATAATTTGGCAAATTTTAAAAAAATTAAATGTAATTGCAACAACTATATTGATAGATATAAGTTTTCAGGTCATATATTAACTAGCAATTTTTCTTTTTTAAATCCAGAATATCAGGATATTTTAAATAAAGGGTATAAATATATACCTCAAATTAAACACAATTATAATAATACAATTAAATCTATGTTAAAAGATATAGATATTTTCATAAATAAAACTAGTATAAAATACAGTATTCCAGAATTTACTTTTCTGGAATGGAAACATAATATTAAAAAGGAAATTATAAATTATTATAATAATACACTTAAATACACAAAACCTAATTCAGATATTCCTTCTTTTAAAGAAAATATAATTAAATTACAGAAGGACTTTATTATCACTCCTATAGATAAATGTTCCAATAACTTATCTATAATTTGTAAAAATCTATACCACGATATACTAAAAAAGGAAATTGATAATAATCATAAATACACTTTAGCTAGAACTACAGCCACAAAAATCAAAAAAGACATCAAAAACGTTGAAAATTCTCTAAAAATTTATAATCACTACAAAAATCCAAACATACCAAAGTTCTATATAATTCCTAAACTACACAAAAAACCTATTTCTTTCAGAACAATCACATCTGGTATAAATTCAGTTATAAAAAACATTGATATACAATTAGCTTCAACACTACAATTTATTATAAATAAATTAACTAATAAATATAATTATAAATTTATCGACTCAAATAAAAAAATCATTAACTACTTAATGAACAATTGGACAAACATGGAAACAGTACACACATTTGACTTTGAGGACCTATATTCTAAAATAAATTTAAGAGATCTAAATAATAAAATAACCAATATTTATTTAACGAAATCATTAATGACAAAACTTTCCACATTAAAATTATTCATAACAGATATAAAACAATTAAATTAGATCTTAAAACAGCAAAAACTCTACTGGAAACATTTTTAAATTTTAACTATATAGAATTTAAAAATAAAATATATATTCAATCAGAAGGCGTTCCCATGGGAACTTCTTCAAGTCCTTTATTGGCAAACTTAATATTATTCTGGGACGAAAGAGAATACTTTCTACAAAATAATGTTAACTGGCAAATGTTCCGTTATGTAGATGACATCATAATATTTAATAATCCACAGTTCAAAAACTTAATACCTAAAATTTATCCTAAATACTTGAAACTTAAGAACAATGAAAAAATTTATAGAAACAAAAAAGTTAACTTATTAGACCTAAATATAGACCTTACAAATAATGCTATTAAAATTTATAATAAAAAAGTAATTATAATTTCAATATTATAAAATACTGTAATATGAATTCTAATATATCATTAAATTGTTGTAAAGGTATATATTTTGGTCAGTTTCTAAGATTTTATAGAATAAATAATATATTAGAAAATTTCATAGAAGATGTTAAAAATTTAAACATGGAATTTATTAAAAACAAATTTAGTATCAGACAAGTAAAATATTTCAACAGTATATCAATTATAAAATACTTAAAAAAAATAAATGGAAGTATCCATTTATTAAATCAACTTTCTATAATTTCTCTCAATAATAAATAATACAAATTTATAATCTTTAACAATTAGTTAAACTTAAATTAAATAGCTGATTTGAAGATTTTTTCACAAGATTTTTAAAGTAATATTGTATAGAATTCATTTTGTTTAATCTCCAATTTCTGGGGAGGAAAATGGAAATTAAATAAAAGTGAATTTTCACAATTAATAGCTTTATTAAACTCTAATAGTTTGCCTTTTTAAAGGAATATTGAAAGATGAATAAGTGTTGAATCAGTTATTTTAATATAACTGGCTGTAAAGATTATAAAGTTTGGATTTCTTCCCTTAACTATCTTTTCTTTCTTCTTTGAATATCTTGTTGTTCTAAAACTTCAGAATGGACGGTCTAATTTTGTCCCCCTCCCCCCACAACATGTGTCATCCAGAAACAGATGTTTACAGTTGAAGGCGTCGCGGTCAAGGTAGGTTCACAGTAAGAATTTGGTAACACTTATATTTGTTATATCTGTTCATATAAATGTTTCACTGAAGTAACTTTATATTAACACATAAAATCCATTTGAAAAGAGGTCTATGACATAATAGAGAAGGGATGAAATGTCGTTGAACTTCTATTTGAGAAGTCCCGGTTCAACAGACCTCTTTTTTCAATAATTACTCCAATTTAAATTTTTTTTTGTATATGTCTGGTCTACCATTAGGGTTTCAAAACATAATAACCAAACTTATAACAAAAGTTAATTCATAGTATAGATATATTACTAAATACAACTATTTATATTCATATTTAAAAAAAAATAAAAAAATTTAAAAATCATTTAAAAAAAAAAAGGATAAAATATAAAATTATAAAAATATATATATATACTAACAATCTTATCTACCTTATTTACAAAACTTTTTGTTTTCTTATTATTAGTTTGATTAATAGTGCATGGTTCTGTATTTCTCTCTTTTTTCTAACTATCATATATATTCTCACTTCTATTATTCTATATATAGGATTAGAGTATGTCTAAATGACGTGTAAAAGCCGATGCAAAAGACGTTACGTTGTTAAATTTTATTGTTATTAATTATAAATTTATAATTAACTAGATGATGTTTTAGAAGTAAAGGATTTTTTTTCTCTCTATCTATACTAAATAATAACAATTTACAAATTTTATAATTTGAATTTAAATAATCAAATTAATGAAGATAATTTTAATAGAATACTTAACTATAAAACTATACAACTATTTATTGTTATAATTAATTTAGATTTAGCTTGCTAATCTAACCAAATCTACTTGATATGATTTATCATTCTTATCAGTTTGCTTCTTAAGTTTTAAATGTAGAATCACTGTAATATTTTTATTATATAGTTTTTACACTATATATATATATATATATATATATATATATATATATATGTTACCGGATTCGCCCGGTTTTTACCCGAGTAAAAGTTTGCCTAACGAACATTTGTTAAAATGATTCTAGAAAACATTCAATCCACCAATATATAGATTTATGAACATATAAAATATTGTTATATGCAAAACGAAAATTGCAATTATACCGCGAATGTTTCTTCCAAACAAAAATCGAAATTTATTTTTAAAGAGAAATAACGACTATTTCTAACTTTAAGGATGAAGTATGAAAGGGTGAAAATATGAAGAGTAATGGCGAACGGAAAAAAAAAAGTGGCCAGGGGCGGGAATCGAACCCACTACCTTCCGCTTACCGGGCAGATGCCATGTCCACTAGGCTACCCTGGACATATTTTTCCGTTCGTAAATATTATATAAATTTAATAAATAAATATATTATTTAAATTACTTTATATAATATTTACGAACGGAAAAAAATGTCCAGGGTAGCCTAGTGGACATGGCATCTGCCCGGTAAGTGGAAGGTCGTGGGTTCGACTTCCGCCCCTGGCCACTTTTTTTTTTTCCGTTCGCCATTACTCTTCATATTTTCACCCTTTCATACTTCATCCTTAAAGTTAGAAATAGTCGTTATTTCTCTTTAAAAATAAATTTCGATTTTTGTTTGGAAGAAACATTCGCGGTATAATTGCAATTTTCGTTTTACAATCATCAGCCGCGTTATATTGTATTTTAAATTGTTATATGCGTAAAAATATATTTTTGAAACACATACTATTTTTGAAAACATTCATTAAATTAAAAAATATATATTTTCTTTAAATATCAATTATTATTGAAATGCCAAGTTTTTTTACGTCATTGGAATATTTCATTGGTAAATTCTCCAATTTTAAATATTCAATTTATTATACCTGGAACACATTTTAGAAATTTTACAATTTATAAATGTAATTTCGCCAGAGACCGCGAGAGGCGCTGCTTGCCTGTGAAAGTAGAAAATTTGCAAATAAAATTGCAAAGAATATTTCTTTCAAATCAAATTCAAACCAGAAACCTTCCCAGTTGTATAGTAAATAACTTCCTGCTTTTAAAGGCGATTGGATAATCTTGCCTTTTTAAAAACATTCATAGTGTAAACAAATTAGCATTCATCGTGTAAACAAATTAACATTCATCGTGTAAACAAATTACGTGTACCAGTGCTGCGCCAAGCGGTAAAAAGCTGTAACTAACGCTTTCTGGTTTTACATAAAAAAAAGAACATTAACCTTTTCAGTTTTTTCAATAGCCTATATGTTAAACGAAATCTTCAACTACCTACATGCGAAATTTAATAATGATTTATTCTGTAGATTTTGCGCAACGCGATAACAAACATCGATTTTTGATATAATCAGTGCTGTAGTCGTAAAATTAGCATAGGGTATACGCTTGAGAATATAAATTTTTGGTAAAAATAAACAAGGTTATTTTTAATTATATTTTTATTTGAAAAAAAGACAAAATATTACATACAACTTTTACATAAAAATGTCCCATAATGACTGCCGAGATGCATCTGTATTTTTTCTGGCACAAACTCTTGATCTAGTGTCAGTAGATGATCTATGATGTAAAAGCCATGATTGAACGTATTTTTTCGGCTGAAACATTTCGATTGGTGGTCCATTTGAATTTATGAACATTAAGTTCGAAACATTTGATATTAGCAAAGAAGTCCGCAAGTTTGTTATTATATCATTCATCAGGCTGAAACCTCGCTCACATTCAGCTGTTGAACAGGGCAATGTTGAAATTGCCCTGAAAAATGGTTGAAGTGTTTCGGGAACTTTGTTTTTTTTATCATCAACAAAATCTCTCAAGCCGTTAATGCATTTCATTTCATCTAAGTTAAACCTTCGACAAATACGTCTCATTTCGACCTCTCCATATCGAACATTTTCTGCGTCAAAATTGTTTGGTTCTAGAGCTGAAATATCCTTAATTAATTGCTCATTATCTTCATTTGATTCTGTACACAACCTTAATTTTAACTTTTCTATTATACTTAGAAGAATTTTTTTTCTATCAATCGGAATAATTTTGGCATTGGGAACTAATGTTACGCTCCTAAAAACTAAGTTTTCTGCCGCTTCAAGAGCTAGCAAGCTTTTTTCTCCTGGTGATGTTTTGAATCTTTCTAGGACTCTAATGGTTCTCTTTATTATATGTTCCGCCGTTTGTAAAGTAGTTGTTCTAGACTGCAGCTCTAAAGACAACATTGACATTTCCTGAAGCGTGTCGTACATTAAACCTAAATCTAATATAAATTCTGGACTCTCCAATCTTCTTAATAACCCTTGATATGTGGAATCGAGATATGTTGATGATTTGAAATGATGGTGCAATGACTCGTATGACTCCCAGACGGTTTTTATTGTTCTAAAACTACTTGAAATCCATCGTACTCCTAAAATTCGACCCACTTTAGCAAATCTTGTTCCTAATTCATGGCAAGCTTCCTCCAGAGCACGACAATTTTTGGGAGATTGGCTATATAATGAATACAGTTTGTCCATAAAAGCTTTAAAATGGTTGATTCCGCGGACTTCTTTGATAGTATCGCCAACAGAAAGCTCTAATCTATGGTTGAGGCAGTGCCATGCAAAAAGTTTTGGAAACTTTTGCTTAAGTCGAGTTACTACTCCCGAATGTCTTCCTACCATGACACTTGCCCCATCAGTCGCAATTGCTATCCAATTTTCTTTTAAATATTCTTCGTTCAACCCATGTTTATACAAAGTATTCAAAAGCTCTTTTTCAATATTTTCTGAGTCTTGGCATTGTAATTCACACAAATCAAAGAAAATATAATCAATACTTTCTCCTCCTAAATATGCTTTCAAGAAAATGACCAAAGTTGATTTATTACTTAAGGTTGTTGATTCATCAATTAGTATAGTAATTTTTGAATTTGTTGACAAAATCTTCGCAACAAGCATTTTCCGCATTTCGCAGGCTATATGGTTTATTATTTGTGTAGCAGAATATCTGGAGTGAAGAGTCGATCCTAATTTAATGCCATTTAATGTTTGTAACGTGATATGATTTTCATAATCAGAATATGGTCTATTTGTTTTAGCGATATTATAAGCAGTTCTAAAAAGCTTAATATTTTCATTTTCTACTTCAATGTTCATATTGTTTGCATATTCTTCTAATTTATTTTTTTTTTTCTGTTTTTCTCAATATTCTCAGCTATTTTATGAGCTTCAGACTCACAATGCTTTTTAATTTTCATTCGAATGTTTGATAATTTGCTTGCCCGATCTTTTCCTGCTGCTTCTATTAGGTAGTTACTCCATTCTGGTGAAATATGAATTCTTTCACTTTTTGCAGCCCCTAAAGTTTTAACACTTGCGCAAATGTTACATCCGAGTCTACCTTTGGAAATTGAAAGCCATGGATACTTTTCCTTAAATTGAATATATTGGGAATCATTCCAAACTTCAAATTTGGAATCCTGGTCATTCATTTTCTCTGGTGAACTATTGATCAATATATCAGCTCTTTTTGAGATAGTACTTGCATTTGATGTACCAACAGTGTTTTTATTTCTTTTAACAGCTTCTTCTAGTTCATTCTTTTCTGCATCTTCTTCTACCTCCAAACTTCTTTTAGTACATAAATTTCCTGTCTTCAACCAGCGGTCCATAATTAAACAGAAGAGTTATTTTCGAAAGCTAGTATAAGTACAGAAAATTTAAATTTCACTTATTTTAACATTAACAAAATTTAGATACTTACTTAATCGATTTGTTTTGAATTAAATCTTTATTTTATTTATTTTTTAAAAAAACAAACACCAACTTTTCATCAACAATTAAAAACAATTTAAATAAGCTTTTAAGCCAGTATCAATAAACTTACTTAAAGAAGTTTTCAAAATTATATTTTTTGAAAATCAATGTTATTTTGTCAACAGCTTTTGCTAACTTCAAATAAACTAAAGAATATGCAAAATTAACGTCCACAATAACGTAGTTTAGCATGGTTACCATAGCAACTTTAGTTAAAGAAGAGTATTTGATAAAATTCAAATATATTTTCAATTGTATAGAATTAGAAGAAAATCGTTTTAAATCGAAAACCAAATTGTTTATGTATTAGTTTACATCACTGCTGGATAAATACAGCATTGGTAATAAGAGAACATCTATCTTGAAGAAGTCGTTTTTACTTTTTTTTGTAAATGATTTTAACATCAGAAAATATAACTTTATTTTTATTTAAACTTTAATTTTTTAACATATTTTCTATTAAGCTAACATAATAACTTTTATTAGGAAAGTTTAAAGTTTTCATTTCATTGTGGTTTTAAACAAAATTACCATTTTCAAAAATTAAAGGTTCGGTTATATTCGTTTTCCGTTTTTCGTTAAAGGAGGCTTGTTTGATTATTAATTTGAATATAGTTGATATATTTTTTCCAAGAAAATTTTACTAAATGAATGAAATATTTTGTGTGAATTGTTAATTTGAAAATTTTTTGCAATTTTTCAGTACAATTTTTATCATCATTTTTTTTTTACTATTACAAAGAAAGAAAATAATAAATTTTTAATAAAAAATTTGAACAAAATCATAGGGTATACGCTATTTTTAAGTAAAACCACTAGGTATACGCTATCTAAATTTTAAAAGCATAGGGTATACGGCGTATACCCCGTATACCCTCCACTACAGCACTGGATATAATATATTTTATAGATATAAAGGAAGGAAAGGAACGAAGGATATAAAATTTATTTTTCGAAAAAACTTAACCACTCTCTCTACTAAATAGATTTTTAAAAAGATATATATAAATAAAAATATCCAGAGATACACTACATGATCTTAGCCAAAAGGACGAGAAACAATATTTTATATATAGAGATGACCTAGCTTCGTGTGTTTTCTGCTCGAGTGAATGTTTCGCTGGTAGAATTTTGTTCCTGCCTACTAATTTTTATTATCTGGCTTCCCCCGTGGTCTGCTTTAGTGAATATTCCCTTTAAGAATTTTTTTATGTCAATCAAGCATGATACGGCAATATTGTCATCACCATTTCTGACTAAAAAATATTGTTTCTCAGTACTTGGTTAATTATAATTTTTCTTGGTTAAAGTGAGACAAAAAAACTCTTCCAGATTTAACTCTCTGTCCTGTTCAAATTTCAACGAGATTAGTTACATATTGAGGGCGTGCATAGCCGACAAACATATATATATGTTCCCGGCTTCGCCCGATTTTTACCCGAATAAAAGTTTGCCTAATAAACATTTGTTAAAACGATTCTGGCAAACATCCAATTCCTACTGAATCTATACTTATCTATGCTCTCGATAATTTGAAAATTTTCTCGGTCCCTTGAAAAATACTCGATAAGTTGAAAAAAATCAGTATTAATTGGTCCACTCGGTAATTTGATGTTGAAGGAATAGTATCTTGCCACAAACGAACATTTGTAAATAACTGTATTTAGCGAATGTACCCGGCATCGCCCGGTTTTTATTCGAGTAAAAGTT